CTGCAACAGGACATAGAAATACAGAGCAGGTTAGTCACGGTTACCTTGTCCATTGTGTCCAGTGCAGGCGTGGAGACACACATGTGCAGCTCCCACCTCCCGGGCGTCCTTTCAGGGGAGCACCCCAGCATGGTTGTGCTCCCTTAAGGAATGGATTCTCCCCTTCTTTTGCATATAAAAGCAATGATTATTCTCAATCTATAATTAGACTGGAAGAAAGTCAAAGGGGGGCTCGATACATTGTAAAATGGTGGTGCGGTCACAAAGTGACAGGTCTCAGGGCCATATATAGTCATCACCACAGCTGTGATGCAGCGTCTGCCTCACGCGGTGCATTCTGCACTGGCCGGGGATTTATGGGAGACCGGCAATTATGACATATGTCCGGCTATTGCTAGCCTCAGATTTATCCCTGTGGTCCTTTTTTGTCTAGCATATTGCCTGAGCACAGACCAGGCAGGAGGAACACTTATTCTTGCAAAGCTTTAATAATCTGTGAATGGCTGACTACAAACTGATATAGAGCACTATCATTCCACAGCCGCAATCCACCAGCCCCACGAAATTGCCGGCCACAAATAGTAATTAATCTTTTTATCCCTCAAATTGTAATTTTGACTATGAACTGTGCGTGGCCATAAATCAGAGGCACATGCACTGTGTATAGTGCATGAATCACAGCCAGGACTCCATCCGACTGCACACACTGTGTTTAACAAGCTTTATAAGGAGCCATCGGGCTTTATTACGGCTCTGCCTGACTCCAACAAAAACTGAGCCCGGAGGCCCGGGGCCGCGAGTTAAGATGAAAATACTTATTAGAGTACATTATTTCCTGATGTAGATATCGTTTTCTATGGAGTAACTCCACAGTGCACGGCGAGACATAAATCAGGAGGTTTTCGGAGACTAATAAGCCCCGCCGTCATCTATTCATTACTCCGCCCGCAATTTGGGCCATCACTCATTAGTAATTGATGATTAACACCACCCAACTCTGCAGGTCTGCAGAGTGCAGGAGAACACAAAGGCCATGGCTTCCTAAGAGGAAGCTTGGGGCTGCCTTGGAAAGTGCTCTCCACAATAATTGGTCACCATTATCCTCGAGTGCTGGGCTGTTGGCGCGTCTTGTAAGCAACGCAGGGCGCCTCGCACGTACACTCAATAATGCGCCCGAAAGTTGAGGACCACAATATGATTTGACATTCCATCATACATCCCGGAGACAAAGGTCCGCACAGGAATGTGAAGTAAGACATTTTCTTGTTAATAAAGCATTGATCCAATGTATTGATTTTACATGACATGGCTTTTGCTGGGATTTTGCCCTCTTTTTTTCTTTGCAAACAGTAAAGCTTTTCAAAATGCCTCGGTGTGTGTGACATGGCAAAATTTCTAACTCTCAGTGATGTAAATTCTATATGTGTAAAACCACTTCATAATCAGACCATTAATCATCAGAAGCTGTCAGCGTTGACCAGGGGGACAATTCGTCATGTCTCTCCCTCGGTGCGGGCAAGGGTGTCATGCAAAAATGCAGTTCGGGCATCTGGGCAGATGGGCTCCAAGCCCAGTAAACCACTTGGTTCAAAACAGGTTAGATAAAGTGTTGTGTTTCTTCACTGGGGGTGGGGTGGCCCAGTGTGCATTCCTAACATGTCAGTTTTCTCCTCTCTCCCAGCTAATCACCATGACTGTTTGACTTAATGAATCGGCCTGATGAAAGGTGATCAGAAAAGATAGATGGGCAGCCATTATTGATTTCATGCAAATGCCCCTGACAGGTGATAGGCACTTTAATGCAAGCTTTCAGAAGCTTTATGACTTCTAATAACCACACACTTGCTCTGGGAGAGACATTCTCCAGTGTCTCTGTTGAACTGATAGTCTTTCTCTATGACCAAAGTGTTCTAAAGCAGAAGTGTGGGGGCACCTCTCGATTGAGTCCAACAGGCCCTGGCGGTGTGACCGCACTCCAGGATGCGCAAGCATGGCAGGCTAGGGAAGTTCGGGCAGGTACAAAAGCTTATGAGGCAGGTCCCCGCCAGGCCAGAGGGCCACAGCGAGAAGACAGTTCGAAGAACCCCCTTGGCCAGGAGTCTGCCTACTGGAATCTCAGGGAGTTTACAAGGCAGAATTGAGACCACTTCCTCTTGGTGGCAGGGTGGCAGCAGCCTTCCTGATCCTGGAGTTTCTGCTCTGGTGATGGGGCCTCCCATGTACTTCAGGGCCTCTTGGGGCAGCTGTGATCTGTGGAACTGTTTTGGCCCCGTTGCAGACTTGCCCAGGGTACCCTGTCTGACCTACAACCTATCTCCAGAAAGGCTGGCAAGAACTGGTTGAATCTTCATTGACCAGTGGAAAGCACAGGCCTTCTCACACATCTAATAAACCTTCAGCATGTCGAGTTTATAGCTGAGAGCCCAGCCGAGCCAGGGCAAAGCACTGGCACGTCCAGTCACAGAGCCCCGAGCCAGGCCAATCAATACCACTTTCCTGT